GACTACTAAAATGGCATTACACAAGATAAATATAACCACGAACAGTAGTGCATAAACTCGTGAAAGGTTAGCCACCCTTGTGACAGTGTACTACGCTATTAAGCACCTTTCTGGCTCCTGTGGCTCAGCTAATTCCTCCCCAGGACCATTTGGGCACCCACCCTGATGGATGGATGGATGGATGGCTGGAGCTGGATGACTAACTCATAGCTACCAGCATACTGCTGCACCCCCAGATGTGTATAACCCAGGCGCATTAATACTTTTGTTCTGGTGAGTGTAGACCAGTCCCAAGGTTTATGTTTCACGAGTTCATGCACTACTGTCCGTCACAGAGAAACCACATGTGCCATGCATAGGCACTCTCTGAGTTGGTACTCTCACACGAAGGACATTCCATTATTCAGGAATGATTATATGAACTTATTTTAGCACCATTTACCATTTTACATCATTCTTGCAATTCTTTGCACTTTTTGGTTTTTACATGCGTTCATTATTGATCACATGCATTTATAGCGCTGCACTTGACTTTAACATAGAGTAGTTACATGATTAAAGAGAATGAAGCTATATCATTATATTGGGAACTTATTCCAAATTATTAAACATTATTATTATTATAAAATTATTAAACAGTCCAAATTATTTGAGATATAAGTGTGAAAATGTTTAACATTTAAAAATAGAATGTATGACATTCATTAGTAAATGCATTAGTTGTCTGATCATTTTGAAGAAAAAAAAAAAATTAATAATATAGGTGTACTAATTATGTTATATTCTAAGTATTCTCTTTTGCTAACAGGAAAACGCCAATGGTATCATGCCCGCGCTTGTGCGCCATCTAGCAAACATATCCGGTATTGCACCTAAAAATGTGCCAAACGCGATTCCACATTTACTAACAGAAAAGTAGACGCTTTTCAATGAGATTGCTAGACGCCCTCTCAGAAGACTGACAGGTCTTAATTGATTTAATTGAGTCTGCCTGAATGGTCAGAATCTGCCGGTAGACTCAATTCTTAGTGAATTCGGGCCATAGAGTCTCTGGTGAAAGCAAAGATAGAAGTTATAACACTATCGGATCATGCACCTGTCACAATGAAGTTGAGTTGGGGAGGAGCACATAAAAAGATAAACACGTGGAGATTAAACGAGACACTTCTTCAGGATCAGGAGACGGAACAGACAATTAAAAGAGAAATAGATCAATATTTTGGAAGAAATGAGAATGAAGAGGTGTCTGCAGCGACTCTGTGGGAAGCCCATAAGGCTTATATTAGAGGAATCTTAATAGCGATTGGGGTGAAAAAGAAAAAGGAAAGGAAAGAGAGAATTAACACGCTTCTTAGAGAATTATTTGAATTAGAACAGGTACATAAAAAGAAAATAATAAAACAGATTAAGCAGAATATAATGGAAAAACAAGAAGAACTAAACAATTTAATGGTGGAAGAAAAAAGGAGAGTGTTTAATATGATGATTAGTGAAAGATATCGGTGGGGAGAAAATTTTTAATGAGAGCTCAAAGAAAAAAGAAAGGTAAGAACTATATATAGAAAATAAGAGATAATAAAGAACTAAAATATTCTACCAAAAGTATTGCAAAAGTGTTTAAAGATTAATATAGTAAATGATATAATATCAATCATCAACGGTCCGTAGGAGAAGAGAAAGAAAGAAGTAAAAAAAGACAGACATATTTAAAAGAGACGGGGTTACCGAAATTGAGAGAAGATCAGTTAATATCCCTTGAGAGATCAATATCAGAGGAAGAAATTCAAAGTGCGTTAAAGAGTACTATGGCAGGGAAAAGTCCGGGACCGGATGGGTATACTGTGAGATACTATAAGAAATTTAAAGATCAATTGATACCTTAACTGAGTGTATATATGAATGCATTGGGAGGGGAGATGGAAATGAGAGGAATCCCTGCAGGCTCATATTACAATAATACCAAAAGAAGGGAAACATAGTACACAGTGTTCTAGTTATAGACGAATATCATTACTAAATATAGACACTAAACTATATGCAAAAGTGTTAGCAAATAGGTTAAAGGATTTAATGCCGGAGTGGATCCATATGGATCAAGTGGGGTTTGTCCCTGGGAGAGAGGGTAGGGATAATGGACTAAGATCGTTATTGCTTATACAAAAAAGTAAAAGAGAAAAATACCATGTGTTGTTACTGTCGGTAGACGCTGAGAAAGCATTTCACAGATTAGACTAGGGGTATATGTTGGATACACTGAAAGCTCTGGGGTTAGGCCCTAGAATGAGAGTATGGATAGGGAAATTGTATAGTCAACCATCTCCTGCAATAAAGGTTAATGGGGAATTATCAGAGAGCTTTAAGATGTATAACGGGACCCGTCAGGGATGCCCATTGTCACCTGTGCTGTTTGTCCTGTCCTCAGAATCCCTCTTAGCAAAAATAAAGAAAAATATAGATATTAAGGGAATTTGGATAGGAGAGACGCAGCATAAAGTAGCGGCGTATGCCGACGATTTGCTGTTTATGTAGGTAACCCAAGGATAACATTACCCAATTTAATGAAAACACTAAAAGGAATATGGGGAGCTGTCTAACCTAAAAATTAATCCAACTAAAACAGAAATCTTGAATATAAATCTTCCAAGAAGAGAGAAAAAGGCATTACAAAAAGAATTTTCCTTTTTGTGGAAAGATAAAGAACTAAAATATTTAGGAATAAATTTAACTGTATCCCTAAAGAACCTATATAAAGCAAATTATATTCCATTATTAAATGAAATTAAAGACAAAATGAGAAAGTTTGGGATAGGTGGTATATCTTGGATAGGACAAATAAATCTAATTAAAATGGTAATTGTTCCAAAAATGTTATATACATTTCAGATGATCCCAATAAAGCTGCCAGAACAGTAGTTTAGGATAATGAAAAAAATTATGATAAATTTTATATGGAGAAATAAAAAACCTAGAATATGTTACGAAGTTCTATCTAGAGATAAAGAAAATGGGGGATTGGGTGTTCCTGATTTTAAAAGATATTATAACTCAGTATTGATAGCACAAATTTTTGATTGGACACATAATGCACAGGGGAAAAGTTGGATAAATATAGAAAACACATTAAGTAAAACTCATTTGAGTAAACTAATATGGTTACCACCTCACTGTCGTGGAATGATAGATAGCACAAGTGTATTTACAAGAATTGTTTTGAGAGTTTGGGACACAAGGCACAAACAGATGGAATGGAAATGAAAAGGTTGCAAGGAGATGGATAAAAAAAAGGAGACGCACAATTAAGAGACCTTATGAAAGGTGAGGAAATTTGCCCACTAGTGGAAATGAAAAGGAAGAAGGATTGTTTATTAAAGTAGATGAGTGACGGTATTTACAAATGAAACATTTTATAGAAAAACAACAAACACGGTGTTAGGAATGGACTTGCCAGTAATGGTGGGACTCACCTGCCTTGTGGGCTGCAGTACCAGGGCTGGCCAGCGGGTGCTCCCAGCAATCAGAGACTCAACCCTGCAGCCAGCCAAACACCTGAAACTGCTTATGCAGGTGTATTTAAGTGATGGCCAGACCTGCAGTCTTTGCCTTGGTGTGTGTGTGTTTTTCCTGGGCCCTGTATCTTGTAATCCTGCATTCTTGTTCCTGTTCCTGTGTTCCTGCTAGTACGTTTCCTTGTTGCCAAACTCTGCCTGTTCTGATTACGCTGACCCTCTCCTGCTCTGACCCCGGCTCGTTCCTGACCATCCCTCTGCCTGACCCTCTGTACCACGCTGCCCGCTACCTGCTGAACCTGGCTTGTGACCCCGACCATTCTCCGCTTGCTCCCCCTGTACCTACCTGCCCGATTGTTATTGACCCGGCCCGCCTGATGACGCTTGCATTGTATGTACTATTATCTGTGGGTGGTTTGGTTCGTTTGCACTGTGTTATGTTTTTAGTATTGCACTGCGTTTGTTTGTATTGTTAGTGTTAATAAATTATATTGTTTATAACATATCTGAAGTCTGCGTTTCCCTGCGTCAGTCACATACCTCTGGTCATACCGGGAGCCCTGACATTACACCAAGGCCAATCCTGACCAGAAGTGGCTGCACAGGAAAGCCATCTTGGCTTGTTGCTGGGAAAGATGGATCTTGATGAGGTTGTGTATTTGTCGCTGCTGGATTTTGATGACAGAGAATATGCCTATCAGGCTCTGAGGGAGTATACCCGGGATCAACTGCTAGAATGTATACGGATCGCTCATGTTCTAGTAGATCAGGGCACAGAGTTCTCTGAGGTGCAACCTTTGATTCAGGTTTGTGTAGAGTTGGCTTCATCTGGTGCCCCTGAAAGCAGGAATGACTTTTTGCCGCCATTTAGTGCAGACCAGGTAGAGTCCCTGGTATGGTTATTAGAGGATGATGTGGATTGCTTCTTGGAGCATTATGCTGCATGTTCACCACAGGTATTAAGGGATTGTATAAACGCAGTGCAGTCTTTGGTCAGACAGGCTTTGTGTAAGCTCAGCTTTGTTCAACCCATACTGCAGACATGGACAGATTTGTTGCACCCAGCCAGTCAGCTGCAAAAACCCAGTCCTGCTTCTAATCTATTTCCCCAAAGCTCTATTCCTGCATTCCCAACAGCTCCTCCTGCCCTGCTATCTACCGCATGTCAGTACCCTGTTCCCACTCGCTGCACCTATCCTGCCTTTAACCCTGTAAAGAAGTCCTCTGTAGCAACTGTTCCCTCCCCTGTTCCATCTTCCAGCTCTTCTCTGTCTCCAGCTGCTCCATTCGTTTGCAGACCTGCGTTTACTTGCAGTGCTCCAGTAGTTAAAAACCAGAAAAAAGCGAAAATTCTTTCCAACAAGTACCATCCTGCCAGTATCCAAAACCGGTCAGCCTGCCGTCTGAGAACCGGCCTTCCGTGGTTCAGCCTGGTGCCTCGGCACCCGCACTTCAACCTGATGTCTGTACCCAGCCTGATGTCTGTACCCAGCCTGATGCCTCTACCCAGCCTGATGCCTCTACCCAGCCTGATGCCTCTACCCAGCCTGATGAACTGATCCAGCCTGATGATCCTATTAGGCCAGTTGACTCGATGCCCGCTGTTGATCCAGACGATCCGGTAAGTGATGACCCGGTGCCCACTGCCTTGCCAGATGACGCGGTGCCCGCTGGCAAGCCAAATGACCTGATGCCTGGTGACCCAGTGCCCGCTGTCATACCTGGTGACCCGATGCCCGCTGTCGAGCCAGACAATCCAATGCCTGATGACCCAGTGCCCGCGGTCATGCCTGGTGATCCGATGCCCGCTGTCGAGCCAGACGATCCAGCGCCAGATGACCCGGTGCCTGCTGTCGAGCCAGACGATCCGGTACCTGATGACCCGGTGCCGCTGTCATGCCAATTGACTCAGAGCCCACTGTCGTGCCTGGTGACTTGGTGCCCACTGCCTTGCCAGATGATGCGGTGCCCGCTGTCGAGCCAAATGACCTGATGCCTGGTGACCCGATGCCCGCTGTCCAGCCAGATGATCCAATGTCTGACCCAGTGCCCGCGGTCATGCCAGTTGACTTGGAGCCCACTGTCGTGCCTGGTGACTCGGTGCCTGTCGCTCCGCCTGGGGGCCCGAGACCTGTCGCTCCGCCTGGGGGTCTGGCGCCCGCCGCTCCGCCTGGGGGCCCGAGACCTGTCGCTCCGCCTGGGGGTCCGGCGCCCGCCGCTCCGCCTGGGGGCCCGAGACCTGTCGCTCCGCCTGGGGGCCCGAGACCCGTCGCTCCGCCTGGGGGTCCGGCGCCCGCCGCTCCGCCTGAGGGCCCGAGACCTGTCGCTCCGCCTGGGGGTCCGGCGCCCGCCGCTCCGCCTGGGGGCCCGAGACCTGTCGCTCCGCCTGGGGGCCCCAGACCTGTCGCTCCGCCTGGGGGTCCGGCGCCTGCCGCTCCGCCTGGGGGCCCGAGGCCAGTCCGCCCCGCCTGGGGGCCCGAGGCCTGTCGCCCCGCCTGGGGGCCCGATGTCGCCCCGCCTGGGGGCCCTGCCCCGGAGTCCAGCCCGATGTGCCGCTGCCCGGAGTCCAGCCCGATGTGCCGCTGCCCGGAGTCCAGCCCGATGTGCCGCTGCCCGGAGTCCAGCCCGATGTGCCGCTGCCCGGAGTTCAGCCCGGTGTGCCGCTGCCCCGGAGTCCAGCCCCGGTGTGCCGCTGCCCGGAGTCCAGCCCGGTGTGCCGCTGCCCGGGTCCAGCCCGGTGTGCCAGTCTTTGATATCCCGCCAGTTACCAGACCCGGGCGGTGGAACATTTTGACCAGCTAGGACTGTTTGGAGCGTCCTGAGGCCGCTCCTTGAGGGGGGGGGTACTGTTAGGAATGGACTTGCCAGTAATGGTGGGACTCACCTGCCTTGTGGGCTGCAGTACCAGGGCTGGCCAGCGGGTGCTCCCAGCAATCAGAGACTCAACCCTGCAGCCAGCCAAACACCTGAAACTGCTTATGCAGGTGTATTTAAGTGATGGCCAGACTGCTGCAGTCTTTGCCTTGGTGTGTGTGTTTTTCTTGGGCCCTGTATCTTGTAATCCTGCATTCTTGTTCCTGTTCCTGTGTTCCTGCTAGTACGTTTCCTTGTTGCCAAACTCTGCCTGTTCTGATTACGCTGACCCTCTCCTGCTCTGACCCCGGCTCGTTCCTGACCATCCCTCTGCCTGACCCTCTGTACCCACGCTGCCCGCTACCTGCTGAACCTGGCTTGTGACCCCGACCATTCTCCGCTTGCTCCCCCTGTACCTACCTGCCCGATTGTTATTGACCCGGCCCGCCTGATGACGCTTGCATTGTATGTACTGTTATCTGTGGGTGGTTTGGTTCGTTTGCACTGTGTTATGTTTTAGTATTGCACTGCGTTTATGTTTGTATTGTTAGTGTTAATAAATTATATTGTTTATAACATATCTGAAGTCTGCGTTTCCCTGCGTCAGTCACATACCTCTGGTCATACCCGGGAGCCCTGACACACGGTCCCTGCATATATGGAGAGATGGGAAAGAGAATTAGGATTAACAATAGAGGAAGATAAACAAAAAAAGATTTATAAATTAATACATGGTAAATGTGAGCATGAAAGATGTAGAGATGAATCATAAATGTTTGGCGAGGTGGTATGACACCAAATATAGTACACAAACAAAATAAGGATAAATCACCTTTATTGTTGGAGGGGATGTGGAGAACAGGGCACAGTAGGTCACATGGGGGGAGTGTTATATAATCCAAGAATATTGGGAAGAAATAATCCATCAGATACAGGAAATAACTGGGCTAAAAATACTAAAGGACCCAGGGATATGTCTTTTACATGGAACAGAGTTAACGGTCGAAAAATACAAAAATTCTGGGTTATTGCACTATATTAACACTGCAAAAAGTCTGTTTCCTAAGTTTTGGATGGAACAGGAAGTACCAAAAACAACGGATTGGATTAGAAAGGTAGATCAGATATATAGAATGGAAGAATTATACCATGTAGATGAGGATAAAATGGAATGTTTTCGTGAAAAATGGAAAAAGTGGGAGCAGTTAAGGAAGGATAAATTAATTGAAAGTATATAGGAAATAGGAATAGATGAAAACCCTAGGACTCCAAAAGATAAGGGAATGATGCGAAGTGGAGGGAGGGGAGGGGGGGGAGGGGAGGGAAAGGAAGGTTTTTACTGGGATAGGGTGGGGGGAAGGGGGAGTATGGTATTTTTGTATTTGGGGTGAAAATAGTTGAATAAGTGATATTGAATTTTTTTTATGGATGGAATAGATGAAATGTAAAACTCATATTCTTATCAGAAACAAGTCAAATGTGTTCCTAGGCATGCTTAGCCATGATATTCCACCCATAATCCCCATATATAAAAATAACTATACCCATATTCTTAGGAGAAACATGACAAATATGGTCATTGGCATGTGTATCTGCAATCATTCACCCATAATCCACATGTACAAAAATAATTATTCTCAACTGGAGACATTGCCCCAAACCCTGGCCCTCCATCATCAAACTCCAACCCACAGAAGCAGCTGCCTCCCCTCTCTGGCCGCAGCCCTCACTCTCTCATCTCAATTCCCCTGCTTCCACGCACCAACCCCTCCCACCTATGTGCCCTCTGGAATGCCCGCTCAGCCTCTAACAAACTCTCTACTATCAATGATCTCTTCCTCTCCCACTTCCTCAACCTTCTTGCTATTACTGAAACCTGGCTCCAGGATTCCGACTCTGTCTCCTCAGCTGCACTGTCCCATGGCGGTCTCCTCTGGAAAACGAAAAGGGGGCAGAGTTGGACTTCTTCTTTCCCCACAAAGCACGTTCCAGGTTCTTCCTGCCCCTCCATCTCTGTCCCTCCACTCTTTTGAAGTGCACTGTATTCATCTCTTTTCTCCTGTTTGAGGATCGCAGTCCTCCCATTCCTCTCTCTCTGCCTCACCTACCTCCACGCCTTGCTCCTTTTTTATATCCCGCCTTGATTTATTGCAACTCCCTCCTCACTGGTCTACCATTACACAGGCTATCCCTTCAGTCTATTATGAATGCTGCTGCTAGACACATCCACCTTACCAACCGAATCAACGACTGCTGCCCCTCTCTGCCAATCCCTTCACTGGCTTCCACTAACCCAACGTCTAAAACTCAAAATACTAACCACTGCTTACAAAGCCATCCATAACACTGCCCCTAGCTACATCACTAACCTCATCCACAGATACCGCCCAAATCACCCACCTCCACTCCTCCCATGATATCTTCCTCTCTAGCTCCCTCATCACCTCCTCCCACGCTCGCCTCCAGGACTTCTCCAAAGCCTCTCCCATCCTCTGGAACTCCCTATATGTTCTGGTCAGCCCCCACCCTGTCTGCCTTTAGGCGATCTTTGAAAACTCACCTCTTCAGGGAAGCATACCCCACCTCCACCTAAGAACTGTACTTGCATCACCTCCACCAGATCATCCCCGAAAGGTATCACCTCTTGTATCACCTCCCCCTTCCTTTAGATTGTAAACTCCACGAGCAGGGCCCTCACATTCCTTCTGTACTGAAATGTATTGTAATTGTAATGTCCTCCTCCCTTATATTGTAAAGCGCTGCGCAAACTGTTGGCGCTATATAAATCCTGTATAATAATAATAATAATAAAAATAATATTTTTATCAGAAAGGGGTCAAATGTGTTTCCTAAGCATGTTAAAAAAACAATATTCCATGCATAATCCCCATGTAGAAAAATTGATTTTCTCATATTCTTATCAGAAAGGGGTCAAATGGGTTCTTTGGCATGTTTAACCATGATATTCCACCCATAATCCCCATATGGAAAAAGAACGACACCCATATTCTTAGGAGAAAACATGCCAAATATGGTCGTTTGCCTCTCCATCCCTGGAACTACGTATCTGCAATCATCCACCCAAATAATCCCATGTAGACAAATAAGTATTCTCCTTTTGTTATCAGAATATGGGGTCAAATATGTTCCTAGGCATGTTTGGCCATGATTTACCATATCACCGCCCATATTACCCATGTAGAAAAAAAAAAAACTACCTATAATTATTTCAGAAATAATTCAAATATGGTCCTTGTCATGTGTATTCACAAAAATCTATCCATAATCCCCATGTAGAAAAACAGCTATTCTCATATTTTTAGCAGAAAGGGGTCAAATGTGTTCCTATACATGTTAAAAAAAACAACATTCCACCTACAATCCCCATGTAGAAAAATAACTATTCTCATATTATCATAAACAGGTCAAATGTGTTCCTAGGCATGTTTAACCATGATATTCCACCCATAATCCCCATGTAGAAAAATGATGCCCATAATCTTTTCAGAAATGGATGAAATATGTTTCTTGCCATGTGTATCCACAATAATACACTCATAATCCCCATGTAGAAAAATAACTATTCTCATATTTTTATCTCAAAGGCATCAAATGTGTTCCTAGGAATGTCAAAAAACAATATTCCATCCACAATCCCCATGTAGAAAAACAGCTATTCTCATATATCTTATCAGAAAAAAAAAATGTGTTCCTATACATGTTTAACCGTGATATTCCACCCATAATCCCCATATAGAGAAAGAACGATATCCATATTCTTAGGAGAAATATGTCAAATATGGTCCTTGGCATGTGTATCTGCAATCATCCACCCATAATCCCCATGTAAAAAAATAACTATTCTCATATTTTTATCAGAAAGGGGTCAAATATGTTCCTAGGCATGTTAAAAAAACAATATTCCATTCATAATCCCCATGTAGAGCAATAGCTATTCTCATATTCTTATCAGAAAAAAGTCAAATGTGTTCCTAGACATGTTTAGCCATGATATTCCACCCACACTTGCAAGAAAAAGTATGTGAACTCCTTGGGATTACGTGGAGTTTTGCATGAATTGGGCATAAAATGTGCTCTGAACGTTACATAAGTCACAACAATAGAAGAACACAGTCTGCTGAACATAAATACTA